TGGTGGGAAAAAGAGAGTAAATGCAAAGTGTTTTATATGCTTTTTCCTGTAATAAAATCTTATTTTACTGGATCTTCAATGGAAATCTTTCTCCATTCTGGTATGAGGGGAATTTTGGCATCTGTATTTCTACTTGGTACAGTCTCCAGCTGTTTGTTTACTTTTCTGACTTGGGTACTTGTAGAAGTTATCTCTGTTGTAGAATTAACAAGTAATCTCACTCTGGAAAGTATTTCTGCAGTGTTTCTTGAATGGTTCTTCAACCATGGCAATGTCCATGAGTGGCTAGGAGTGTTAGGTATTATTCCACTGCCACTCCGGGGATTTGCTTTGGAATCCATGGACTCTGAGTCTCTTATGTAGCTCTCCAGAAAGTGAGGTTTGGGGGCTTAGGCAAGATCAGCACAGGAAAACTTCCAAGGGAGGGTGATTCTTCTATGTCTTCAGATCTCATCATCAAGAATGAAAGTAAATGAGTCAGTCAGACAGTCAGCTGGATCACAAATATTTATCAGTTGCCTCCTGTGTGCCAGGAAAAGGGTATAGAGTGATCAAAAAGACAGATAAAACCCTAGGGAGGCTTAAGCTAGTATGAAAGACCAACATGAAATAAATGACTTTGGGTCAACATTAACAGTCTAAGTAAACCAGATGTTAGTTATTTCTGTATATGGAGCAAGGACCAATGATTCTTCTCACTTGCCCTAAAGAAGTCACTTGCCCAAAAGCATATATTTTACTGAAAATGATGAGAGATTTTTACCTCATAGGAATGCCATTTCGCTCCAGATCTCCGTACTTGATATATCTCTCCCAGTTTCTCATAGCCACACAGCCACAAGCTTCCTCTCTCTTTTGACTCTTCTCTAAACCTCTTTGGCTCCAGTCATCCATTTCTAGATCTCTCCTTGCATCCCTTCTCTCCTTTCTTAGGTAGACAATTAATTCTGTCTCATCTCTTTCCAGCTTGCATAGCTGCAATTAAAAACTGACTCAGCAAGCAGCACACCCACTAATTACCAAGAATTTCTCTCATTAGAAGGCAGGGGAATATTTATATAATAATTTTTATTTCCTCACCTACCTATATATCTCCACCCACTGCAGTGTCTTCCTCACCCCCACCCACTGCAGTGTTTTCACCTCTTTGCAAAGTCTTCCCAAATGGTTTGAGAGTTCCCAACTGATATTTCACATGTCCCTACAAAGTGCTGTCAATCACCTGGTGATATCCTCCCTCTTTTTCTTTTTCTGTTTTAGCCCCCTGTGGTTTTTTCATCTGTTGTGGATACTTTTGATGCCTACACAGTCACATGAAGGGGTCTTGGCTCTCCCTCCAGGGTTTTCAGCCAAGTGCCCTCCTTTTAGACATAGCTGCCAGTACCATAGCCCCACTGATATTCTTGAGCCCTAAAAGTCCTAGGGCAGAGCCATAGAATATGGTACCCCTAGGAAATAGAATATATTCTAAGAATATATTCATAGGATATGTGCTGAATGACATTGTGTTTAGTATGCAAGGAGGGGGAATGCTTTCCCACTCCTTTCTACCTTTCCCACCCTTTGCCATCACAGGGGTCATATGAATACTAGAGGAGTATCTGATGGTGTTTTTGAGAAATAAATGCTTATATAATTTTATTTTAGCACATGATAATCATGATATATAACAGGTGATATGGCACAGGACTGATCATTCAGAACGGACCCAAAATATAACTTGAACAATCAGATTGGATGTTCATTAGCAGATAGGACAAATATATTGGTGCATCCTAGCTTAATATTAGCTCTGTTTTGGAAGATCGTAACATGAATCCATGAAGGCTGTGGTTGGGAAGAGAAGGAGACCAGTCTTAACTATAGAAGCCATGTTATTTCTGTCTCCTAAATTAAGAAATGTTTTCCTCTCTGTTTTCTAATACTCAGGTATTGTTGGAGGCATTATAGTTCATAGGGATGTGAATATAGGCTCCAGAGTTAGATGGACTGAGGATCAAATTCCTGTTCTGCCACAAAAAGATCATGGTCTTGGGCAATTAACCTCTATATGCTATAATTTTCTTATCTGCAAAATGGGAATAAAATGCATAATTATGGGGGTGCTGTAAATATTAAATGAGGAAATTAATATTTTAAGGGTTAAAAAATGTTATGCATTATTATTGTACCACGTTCTTGTGTCTAACTCATTCTTTAGAATAACTTTGGATTCATCCTGACTCTAGGCTCATCCAGTCAATGCAACAGATGTGGCCAGTCATGTAGTAGTTAGATACTAAGTAATTAATTAGCTCATTCACTCATTTCTTTTTTTTTTTTGCCATACGCGGGCCTCTCACTGTTGTGGCCTCTCCCGTTGCGGAGCACAGGCTCCGGACGCGCAGGCTCAGCGGCCATGGCTAACGGGCCTAGCCGCTCTGTGGCATGTGGGATCTTCCCAGACTGGGGCACGAACCCGTGTCCTCTGCATTGGCAGGCGGACTCTCAACCACTGCGCCACCAGGGAAGCCCCCGCTCATTTCTTTAATTCTTTCATTCCTTCAACTAAAGGGCATAGTAAGCACTGGAGACCAATGATGAAAATGAGATGACTTTATGAGCTCACAGTTAGAGGGGATACAGACCAAAAATGAAATAATTAGAAAGCAGTGTGAGAAGTGCCATTATGGAGATAAGAAGAGAAGGTTATTGAAATGCATCAGAGAAAAGCCAATGATTATGCCTGGAGAAATTAAGAAAGCTTCACAAAAGAAGTAGTAAAGACTTGTTCTTAGGACAGATTTAGGGCCATCAATTTCCCATATAAGTGGTGTTCCCTATCCCACTGGAAATTTCTGGATGAGCCTAACATTTCCTGGTACTATTGTAGATATGAGATCAGAATCTTAAAGCATATACCTCCTTATTCCAGAGCTCTGATAATGCAAATAAAATACAAAGATACAAGACTTTCAAGATTAAGCTACCTTAGTATTCAATTGAATAAAATTATTAATTCTTTAGAACATTTTTAAACCTTTTTTGAGGTATGGTAGAGGAAGTAAAAAAAATATGACTTGTTTTTCATGTTACTTCTTAAATTCTAAAGTCTTCTAAATTGCATCATTTCTGAATAATCAGCAACAACAACCAACAGTATTGCTACTGGTTAGGTTTAGTCCCTGAAAGCATATGGTCTTTAAAGTATTTCTTTAGGATCTTCTAATGCACCCAGTGTCTCCTCATCTGAAGTCCCAAAACACATAAGTCTATTTTGCATGTTCCTGTGTTTTCCAGTTGCTTAAAATTGATCTTGAGATTTTTTTTTTGAATTGACATCAGTACTTCCCGTGTTATGTTTTTTTGTTTTGTTATTTTTCTGGAAAATAAATCAGTCTCTCTTTCTCTTACTGTTTCTCTGTCCCCTCCTTTCTTTTTTTAATTTTTATTTTTACCTTTCTTACTTGTCTACTTTCCCCTCAGGAAGTTATGCGTTCCTTCTTTTCATTTGTTCAGATTGGAAAAGTTTAAATGAACAAGCATATGTACACACACACACACACACACACACACGTGCGGAGGAACAGATTTTTTTAACAATCGTGGCTGTTACAAAACACAGGAGCACTTTAATAGAGATCTCACTACTGCCTTGTGTGTCTTCTGTCGATTTTTGGCTGTAGTTAGTTCTTCATGAAGCACTTACAGGTGTTGGTTTTGGACTCTTTTCTTTCCAGGGATAATTTTTGAAGCAAGCAATGTTGGAAAATGTTCTCAGATAATCTGTACTCTGCCAGTGCACTTTGTCCTTGTGGGCCCTTAAAAAATCAATTTCATGTGGGTTACCTGTCACTTTGTATGTTTGCTTTTTAGGTACAAAAAAGGGTTAAATCACTTTGGTTGTATAAAATGACTTTTAATCAGTTCTTTTTCTTCTAGGTACAATCACTTAACCTGCTTTAAGACTGTGAATCAGTGCAGCTGGAGCCCTTTTGGAAGCCTTTCGGCTCTTGTTGGGTTAGAAAAATAGAGTTGGAATCAGTTGGCCAGAGTTCACATATTGGCACCATCACTTGCTAGCTATGTGACTTGTGACCGATTAGCCTTTCTTTGATTCAGTTTTCCTATTGATAAAAATAGGGTCAAAGGTAATATCCATGTCTTAGGTTTGTTGGGATAAATAAATGAGATTGTGTGTAAGGAGTGTTTAGCATAGGCCTGGAAAATAGTAAGCTTTTAATAAGTGTCATTCTTATTCATGTGAGTGACATAGCCAACAAGGAGACATGCAACATCAGGAAGAGGCTACAAAGGCAGTTCAAAGACTGTCGCTATGTTTGGTATTACTTGCTTCCATATCTGTCAGTTCAGAAATTTGTTATTTGGTGTGGAAAGGACTGATAAGTCTTGGCACAATGTTTTCCCCCAAGTAAATCACATTTTTTCTGGAATTTGTTTTGCCCTCTCCGCTAACTTCTCTCCACACGCCAGTCTCTAACCCCTACTGCTCTTCATCCACTGCCCTGCCCCTCCATTCCAGGACATGAGAGTCAACATGTGTCACTTCGTTTTCACACCATGACTGCAATTGGGAAACTCCGTTCCCCAAAATCCTTCCCAGGTCTTGGTGAAATCCCCTGGTTATAATTCATGTTTTCCGCACACACTTCGTAAAGATTTCAGTGCTGTAAAATTAATTCTGTAATTATCACCTGTTCTTTATGTTCAAATGTTCACATGTTTACATGCTACATTTAAGAAATCACCTTCTGATAATTTTTATTTCTTTACTTAATAGAAGCACAGCGATTTCTCCCATACAGCCCTTTGCTGCCTCATTAGCACACCTGATATGTTTGTTCTCAGATAGTTTTTCTATACATCCACAGGAGAATTTACGTAGAACTTCCATACCAGCATTAAAGATAGCCATAGCAACACCAAAGAGGGCCTTGTGAAATATATGATTACAATGTACCACGGGAATTAATAATTCTCAGGCCACTGTCTTAAATTGTAACCAGACTGTTTTTGTAAGGAAGTTGCTCAGTTTATGTACACAGAACACATAGGGCTGCATTCTAATTGGGGGACCAGTTTTACTTAAAATTTATATCTCAGAAAGTATTTAAATTATTCTACTTAATATGCCTATGCTATATTTGAGTGATGTTATGAAATGTTTTGCGAATTTGACCCTTCCTGATAATTTCCTAAAAGTCTAAGTGAATACAATGAAAGAATACCATCTCTAAAAATGGTTTTAGTATCTTTTTCCCCAGAGTAAAGAATAAATTTTTTAAAAAATTAATAATTATACAAATTTATCATTCACTATAAAAAGTAATTTTACTAGACACTATGTCAGTTTTCTTCTTCAGGTTCCCCAATTAAGTAGAACTTTAAAAACATACTGTTAGTTTACTAGATTTTAGTAGGTCAGCATGCACACCAAAAGTGTATTAAGGTGGACTGCTTTATTGATTTGTGGTGAATATCCTAAAGGCTCAAGACAGTTGTCTGCGGAAGGGGCGGGAGGGCCATACATGATCGAGGTCATGCGCATCTAGCCAATTTGTAAGACGATCCAGCCGCTCCAAGCCATCAGCAATTCTTAGCATAGGGGCACACTCATGCATTCTTGTCAAGTCATCTTGTGAAAGGCTGCCTGCTTCCAGCTTGGCTTGGATGTGCAACCTTAATAAAACTCACTGAGGTCTGGGAGAAAATAGCAGATCTGCAGCAGATAGGGTAGAGGAAAGGGTCTAGAATATGTACACGCAGCTGACTCAGGCAGGCTACACGCTGAACGGTTACACTGAGAGGAAACCATAAATCTCAGCTACTATGCAATAAATATCTCAAGTTTTAACTAAGGAAACTATCTTTACAGTGAAATTAAAAAAATAACATTTTAGAACAAAGCTAACAGATGGCTAGTTTTCTGTGATTCTTCTACAAAAGCTTTCTTTGAGAGGGGAAAAAGTCAAACAAACAAGCAGTTTTACCTGAAATAAAGAACTAGTTTAAAGGTCAGAAGAAAGGAGCAAGTTTTGCGAGAGACACGGAAAGAGAGTGCTGGCAGTACAATGACAGTTTTCCTTTCCTTTGCTTTCCTCGCTGCTATTCTGACTCACATAGGGTGCAGCAACCAGCGCCGAAGTCCAGAAAACGGTGGGAGAAGATATAATCGGATTCAGCATGGGCAGTGTGCCTACACTTTCATTCTTCCAGAACACGACGGGAACTGTCGTGAGAGTACGACAGACCAGTACAACACAAACGCTCTGCAGAGAGATGCTCCACACGTGGAACAGGATTTCTCTTCCCAGAAACTTCAACATCTGGAGCATGTGATGGAAAATTATACTCAGTGGCTGCAAAAAGTAAGTGTTTGCTTTCAGTTTCTAAATGCACGGAGCCTTTTCTGTTCTTGCACTGCAGCTAGCTTAGAGTTCCTTAGGGGAGCATGTGTGTGTTTACCTTTTGCTCCAGGGGGGCAGTGTTTGCAAATGTAAGACGGCTCTCTCCCTGTGACTTCACGGGTGAGCAAACGTGTTTTAGGCTTGTGCAAGCCTCTGAAGGTATGGTGGCACCCCGTTTTGTGTGCCTAATACTGGCACATTTTATGACATTTCTGGTTTTCCCTTATTTAAAATTTAGCTTAAGTTTTCTATCAAAATCCAACTTAAAAAATTGGGTAAGTTAGTGAAAAAATAAAGTAATAATGACAATACTAGTTTAGGATCAAATCGATTTTACACCAAGAAATTTTCTTCAGCTAGGACAGAAAATCGTCACCAGATACTTATTTTTCAACGTCTAGTAAAGTTAATATGAAATGAGAGTAAATCCAAAATATATTTGATTGGAGAACTTGAATAAGTATAAAAGGTAACAATTTCAGCAAGTAGTAGTATAGTAAAGGACTGATTTCTGTCATATATTTCTTCTGTCCTTGAGAAAAAATCAGGAAGATTTTTTTTAATGTGAACTCATTAGGAAGAGGTTGTTTACCCACTATGAAAGGAGAAATTGAGCCAGTGGTGGCTGTTCCCGAAGATATGCACCTGCAGATTTGGGCTGAACACAACATGTAGGCTTTGGTATGTTCCTGAAGTACCTCTTTCCTCAGGACATTGTAGTTATACACAGTGCAATATGGGAGTCTAAGTATCCAGATAAATGTTACTGTTGAGTATGCATTTAAATCCCAATTTGTAAAAATCAAATTAAACATTTTATTTAGTTATTTCTGTATAAATCATTTAAAAGTTTGTGTTGAAAATATGCCTATAAAGAAATAACATACTTTCTGCAGTTCATTCCCTCTTTACTCTCTGTTTAATTGTGTAACAGGTAAGCAGCAGATAACAAGTGTATTCAAATATATCACTGGAAGGGTGGCAATGTCAGTGTCCCATTTGTGGAAAGCTTCTCCCCCAGGGATCTTTGCTAAAAATTCAGTTGGTGTGTATGGGTAGGAACGCAAGGAGTCTAGTCTTCTTTAAGTTAGTCTGTTAACAGAACAAACCCTTTAAGAAGATAAAAGATAGGGAAAGGACAGATGCTCTGTTTTGTTCCTGTGTGGTCACGCTCACTTAGATCACCTCCTGCTGAATCATGCCGAGTAATAGTTATTTTACTTTTTGTCCACTAGGGACTGAACTAAGATCACTGTTATTTTATTTGACAAATTAACTAAAACTTAGTAGTTTTAGAGTTTCCACACCTGGAATTTTAGTTAATCTTTCTATTGTAGATTACAGGTGAAAAAATACATAGATAGGCAAAATAATAGAAAGCAAGGAGAATTCTGCAGTCTTTTGATAATATAGCTTAAATTTCAGGCACTAACTACAGCAGCAGTTTATAATAGGATTTTTTTTTTTTCCTTTCCGTCGTGTACAAGTGAATTTGGTTGAATAGCTTATTATTCTTCTCAATATACCGCCCATATAGTTTTTAATGAGAATTTAATCATAAATTAGTCCGGATTCACTGAGGGAGGTGGAGAGGGAAATTTAGTTCTAAATTGTCTTCAATAAGCTATTCTACCATAAATGTAATATTTTGTTTGCTTAAAATATACAATCAAAATGGTGATTTAAACATAGTAATGCATATTTGTTTTGTTGCTGTGCAGTTATTAAGCAGTAGCAGGGTAAATAACATGATTCTGCTGGGTTTAAATCATGCCCAGGCTTCATATTGTTAATGTTTGAAATAAATTTGATTTTTGTTTGCATTGTTTTTGGTCAATGATTATGAGGTAGTTTTCAGATTATAGCCAGGCATAATTATGAAAATGTTCTTTGGTTATATTGACCCTTGCTAGCATGAATCAAGCCGAATATATGCTGAAAATTTCCCTGTTGGTATGAGTCAGAGCAGTTTGGCTTGACTGTTGTCCGTTTAAATTTGCACGTCTTCTGTCATTGTTAATGTGATTGGTTGGAGGATCAAGAAACCAAATAAATGCATTCAGCAAAGAACTTGCTAAAGGCTTTCATAAATTTCCCTTAATTAGAGGTTTTCCATACTTCAAGTTCTAAATTTCAAGTAAGGCACTTACTTTGATAATTCAAATGTAAATCTTTGTTATTGTAACCATTTGGTATATGCTTAATACTATAATTTGTGCTACTTCTATTTTGATTCCCAGTAGTTGTTAGGATAAGAAGCAATGCACTGCAGAAACTGAGGCTATCAGTGTAACTGTAAATAATTCATCCATTTATTCAACAAAATAATTAATCAAAGCATATGATTATTATGCAGCTCATATCATCACTATCAGGAATTTTTTTGATGCTGAATGTGTATTATTAATGCTAGAAGCAGATCGATGATAATTTATATCAATCTATTAACCTTCCTCGATGTTTGGTAAACTGGGTTCTTTTAAATATTCTTCAGAAAACACTGACTGTCACTATAAGTCACTTTATGAAACTTATACTCTGCAGTCTCATTCCTCAACTTTTCTGGTCTTGCAACTGAATAAGATGATAAGCAAGGTGGTCAGCAGGGCATAGGATGTGTTGGTCACTGTAAGTACTGGAACTGTTATGGCACTGGTCTCTTGATGTGATGGATTTAATTCTCAGAGATCAGGTTTCCATGATAACTTGTTGATTAACACCAATGTGAGATAGGTTTATAGCATTATCCTTACTTTTCAGATAGGGAAAAGCAATATACATAATTGTTCAAAAAATCACATTTTTATTGGGTGAAACACCTGGGCTATATGTCTAGGTTTGACTCTCTTCCACCATATAGCTCTTTTCAGAATTATTAGCAAACCATACCCATTACCAGAGAGTGACCAGATCTTGGGATAGTGACAGTAAACACAAAGGCCTTTGTGTCTTCGCCACTTTCTTGTGATTCCTTTCTACCTTTCTATTACACAGAAATGTCTGTTGTTTAATGTCTACTCCACATCCTGTGCTTCTTTTTTTTTTTTTTTTTTTTGCGGTACGCGGGCCTCTCACTGTTGTGGCCTCTCCCCCTGCGGAGCATAGGCTCCGGACGCGCAGGCTCAGCGGCCATGGCTCACGGGCCCAGCCGCTCCGCGGCTTGTGGGATCTTCCCGGACCAGGGCACGAACCCGTGTCCCCTGCATCGGCAGGCGGACTCTCAACTACTGCACCACCAGGGAAGCCCCTGTACTTCTTGAACTATTGTTTTCTTTCTCTCATATACCCAAAGTTCACAAATACGTGGATTTAAAATATTCAGATTTAAAATACTAGAATTTGGGGGAATGCTTAGAAAGTCTGTTTTGCCTTTGCCAAATGGTGTCTTTTCTTTTTTTGGTTGAAAGTATAAATACATTGAGCTAAAAAAACATGCCTTGTAACAGAGAACAAGAATCTATCTACTATAAGCATTTCACACTAGCTAAAATTGACAAATTGGTTGTTAGTAAGAAATGTAGTTATGAATCACGATCCAGAATATTTTAATAAATGAAATACTTTTAATGAAGTGCTTGGCTAAATTTTTCTATTGACAGCATTTTTTGACTAACAGCATCCTCTACTTGAATATTGTATTCTTTTCTTCAGAGAATTAGTATTTGGCATGCAGTTACCTGACATATATTAATGATGATGATAATCTTTTTAAAAGCCCTTGTATTACACATATTAACTCATATTAATATCTACTCATAGAAGGTGACTTCCATGAGGCCAGTGATGTGTGTTTGTCCAGTTTCATTTCCCCAGGGCTTAGAGTAGTATATCATCCATAGCAGATAGATAATAAATGTTTGTTGATTGAATAAATGGATACCTTGTCTGTGTGTTGCAATCTGCATTTTATTATGTACTGTTAACATTTTGGATATATACCTTCCTTCCCTAAATAGATTTTAAGTAGTCTTTTAAGCAAGGACTATGTGGAGGAGGAAAAATAATTTTCTCTCTACCCTTCTAGGTTCATGGCTGAGACTTTTCTATACTAAAAAACATGTTAACAAGAGAAAAACAAACAGAAGTTTAATAACATGTATACCTCCTGTATACATGGGAGATGCCCAGGAAAATTGAGTAACTCCCCCAAATGACCCAAGCTTCCACCTTAAATACTGTCTCCAGCTAAAGACAAAAGAAGATGTTGGGTAGGGAGAGCCAGGTTTTCAGGTAAAACATAGTAAACAAGAGTATGGTTGTTATGAAATTTAAGTCCATGCCTTCTCCCTTGATAGAGTTGCTAGAGGTTTAGTCATCTTCCTCTTCGAGGTACAGAGAGTGAGACACCCTTACAAATGGAGATCTCCCTTATAAATGTAAATTTCTCTTATAGAAGGCTAATTTCTACTTGGTTTTTAGAGCTTTTCCTATGTCTGCTGTTTCTTAAAAGTATCAGCCTGAAATAATCCTTATGCCAAAAATTCATAATTTGGCATGACAAATTCTGCTCCCCTTCAACTACATCATGCAATTATTTTTGTCCTAATATTAATTTAAAAGATATTGAGTCTAGAATATGTGGTATTAATTATCCAAATTGTATTTAGCCAATGGTCTAGGATCTTAAAAACTTCTATGAATTCATTTGTCTTCTTAATTATTCGTTAAGAGTCATGTTGTTGCTGGTTTCTCCATGAAATGTACCCACACTCCACTTATCCTCAAAGGCTGAGTTCTCCAGTGTTATCACATTGCATGTATCATGTTAGCACTGCATTTCCATGTTGTGTGGCTGTTGTCATTTTCATTATTTGTTTTGAGGGCTGTTCGCCTACTTAGACTGTAAGTCCCTAGAGCGTAGCAAAAGTCTCTTTATCCATCTTTATATCCCCAAAGATGTTTATTAAGTGTCTGAATAATATCTCTGTTATCATCATAATATAAAAATAAAAACATCACAT